CCGATCGGGGGATCAATAAAAACAATAACTCCTTTTTCATAAATAAATTTTACAGTGGATTGCTTCGCTAAAATATTTTCCAGCTGTTTAAACAAAAAATATCAAGAAAAACAATAACTCCATTTTCATAAATAAATTTAGCAGTGGATTGCTTTACTTAAAGAAAATGTTTCGTTAAAATATTTTCCAGCTGTTTAAACAAAAAATGTAACTACGTTTTAAACCATTTAATTTCTATTATTTATAACAGAAACAGAATAACAAGTGATGTAATATATAGTAAGAAAACTCGAGGGAGGGATATTAAGTATAACTCTGAATATTTAGTCTGTTATTAAAATTAATGAGAAATTTTGAAATCTTTACTACAGGAGTCATTAATTTTCTTTCGTTGTAAATAATATGGTGCTTTGCGTTCTTTTCAGAGAAACACTGCATTAAAATGAAAAATAGACAATCTTGTAGAAGGGTGTTAGTATCCACTTACTAGATTCGATTCCTCAGCAATTAGGCCCGTGGACGCGGTTCCCATTCTTCTCTGTCGTCGCGACATCCGACAGACATATATGTATTCGTTTCCGTCGAACAATCGCGCATTGACTGAATCTTCGTGCACCAACACCGAACATTAAACACTTTTCCTCCATCGATCGACAACGCGCAACGTTGCCCGAAGCGGTAACCATGCCGTGCATCACGGCTGTTAAACAATTCAAGAAAATTCTATCGGTCCAATCGATTGACCACGAGAAACGCTTTCAGCGAGGATCACCGGTCACAGAACCGTCGACACGTCTCCACTGACGCCGAGCGTCCTTTCGGTTCCGCGAACAAACCTTCCATTCACCCATGGCACCGCCGTTTTCCCTCCAACTTACCCACGGGGAAAACCGTCGACGCTGGTTCCTCGTTCGCGCGCGTTGCAGAGGATCAAAAACGACCACTTCGTCGATCGCGTCATCGTTGTACTTTTCAAACGCGGGCACTCCAAACGCCCTGAACACTGTTCGCGAAACGCAGTACGTGACCTGTGGACGCGTTTACTGTTGTTCGTCGGGAAAGGAGGCAGCCAAAGGACGATTGAATCAACAACACACGGCGGAGAATAACGTTGCGGTAGATTTTAATTGCGTGATAACACCGTCGACGTCGAGTACCGCGTAACACGTGCGGCGCGATCACGTTTCGATTCGCAGCCAACTTCACGCGACTAGCGTGATGCGCGCGCACCCGATGCTCGCTGGTCGGCGTCTCGTGCTTGAATGACGACGCGCTTGGCTCGCGACTACCACGAGCCTCCCGATAACGGCCGAACCAATGCCGCGAGAAAAAGGGACGCGGATCCTCTACCTGAGAAAGGACGTGGATTGAATACTGATTTATAGCACTTATTAAGAATAATGAGAATTCTTCTAACCTACTCGAAACTTTTACGAATTTACACGCGGTGTACGCACGTCACGAGAGTCCAAAAGCTTTCGTTGATTCGCGATTTTATGGACGTCCAATTTAATGCGGAAAAAGATTTTTTTTTTAATTCGTCGACCTTTGTCTCATTAGCGACGACTTGGTGCTGGGTTCTCTTCCTTTGGTGTGGTTATATTTTGTGGTAGACGTTGGTTTCTTTTAGATATTTCAGGGTATTTTCTATACACTTCTGTGACATCGAGGCTATAGGTGATGTTATCACAGACGAGTCGCGTCGCGACGCTGAACCGTGCAGCGGATCCGAGGATCGAACCTACTGCCCTTGCTAACTCCATCTTTATAGGATCGTTATGTTCAATGTTTGTTATTAAGTATGTAAGACAAACAGAGAAAAGAAAAGCTCTAAACGCGCCCAACAAAGGCGATTTAAAAGAGATTAATGATTCATCGAAAAAATGAAGATTACGAATAATTTTGCGTTAATTATTATCGCGTATCCCACGAACTCCACTTAAATATCTCCAAAAGTGTTGATGATATCGAAGAATGTTTAAAACAAAAATTAAATTGTTTTGAACGGCGCATAATCTGATGTGACGTTTCCTTTAAATATTGTATACTGAAACAATGATATATTTCAAAGCCAATGCGATGAGGTTTCAGGAATACAGTTTGACAAATATTTCGCGTTTCCTATTGTCCATACATTCTACGTCTGTCTGGAATATAAATTTTGTATCCGTATAAATTATCCATCGAGATATTTATTCATCAACGAAAATAAAATGTTAATCCCGATTATTATTCGAATAAAATTTTGCCCAACTCTGATTCGAATTTATTCATAGGAGAGCGATGCTCGATTGTCGACGATCTATATTCGCAGTTGCCTACATATTTCACCATATTCTCGTTCACGACCATACTTATCGTGTTATACATATATTTATTATTAATGTACATGGGCCGCCATGAAACGGACCGTCAGCGATATATGCAACAATTTTAACAGTCCCCGAGCCATAAAAATAAATTTTCAGGACAGTTTTATATATTAAGGTGTTTTAACTCTTATCGAAGTTTCAGTAAAGCCCATCTAGTGTGGTCCATGTAAAATGGCTCTACCGCGGTATTCGCATCTGTGTAAAGGGGTTTTAGATGTTTATAATTTGATGTATCATCCTCGTACTTTCAACGATCAATATTCAGCTGATATCCTGTTGTAAAACTTCTTTTGCAAGGCCATCATTAGTTTGAACGCTCGAGGCTACGCGCGCTGCTTTTAAAACTTGTGTTGCTCGCAATCCCGTTTTTCCGAATGAAAATACAAAAAGTAAAAATGTTAATATTAGTCGTGAATGCTTGGGTAGAAGAAAAGTCACCGAATATTTCAATGCGGTTGTCTATAAAATTCTCATTGCATGTCTCTTATTTCGGACAGTAATCGAAAATAAAAATGACGTGTGACTAATCCTTGTTCAAAATACAGGAGATTCATGAGAAAATAAATATTCATACAACGTCTTGGTTTCGAGAAAATTGATTTTACTACTTCATAATGCCTGACCATTATTAATTATTTCTACTTGTATGAGACATTTAGAACATTAATTATAGTATGAACTTATCTGTTTTTTATTAATATTACCGTCTTTTAATAAGTTAGAATCAGTTATGAAAATATGGTGCCAATATCAATGCTTACATCGAGAACAATTAGAAATTGTGAGTTTTTGTCAGACGCGTCGGTTATCTCGTAAACGAAGGCTTATTGAATAAGCTTTATTTTAGAATTTTTATTCACTTTCTCCTGTATAATGTTTCTATGGTCAGCTACTTAATATATATATATATATATATATTAAAACATCGCTTTTAAATAATCTTGTTTCTCTTTTAATAACACTTATGCTCACACAAGGCAAGCCTTGTATGTTTTTATCTGACAAGGATTTATTAGTTCTGATGCATAATTTGCACGCGAAATCACAAGGCTGAAATTGAAACCAGGAGGTGTACTTTCGTGAAAATTGTTTCCGTCGCATGCTTCGTATTTTGTGTAATAGCTAGGAGCACCGAAATCTGTTAAAGAATCAAATGGTTTATAACCACGAGCTGAATAAACGATTACATTGGTCTGTACTATAATTTTTAACATTCTGTATGTTCACATCGGGCACATTTCAACATATTATGTAATAAAATTTATATAAAATGCTCGTATTATTTTTCCTTCTATCCTTTCAAATTAAACGAAGATATTCACTCACACGTAACAGTACGATGTGTTTGTAAATCTCTTTTATATTTAGATTCGCGTCTTCGTCGAGCTAACCACGAGTCTAAATAAGTATATGTACTGACTGGGATAATAGGTCAAGGTTAAGAACAGATTGATTTAACCCAAAGACGGAGTTATAGTCGAATGTAACGAAATGTAGGGAATTTACTGCTTGGTCATATATCGATTATGTCGGATCAGCAATCATCAAATAATCCTGACGTTTACAACGCCACGAACGATTAAGCTGTTTGGACCATTTACGATTATTATTATAGGGTCATCAGTTAGAATGGCAAATAAAGCGTGGATGAGTGAATGGTCCTCCCTACATAAAATTATATCTCTAAACTAAATCTTACGCGTTACTGAATCTTAAATCTTGAATATTAAGAGCAGAAAAGTTTTACAAGCATTTTAACATAAACGTTTTCAAAACTATCGATCTACCGTGTACTTCGTCAATGATAAACGTTTTATTACACCGTAAGAAAATTTATTTAATCGCGTAGGATTTAGTCGTAATCCTACGCGAGAAAACAGAATGGCGCTGTGGTCGAACAGACGAGCCGCGTTATTTTCCCAAAATGACATCCTCGAATGACATTTAATCGGTAGGAGCACTGAAAAGCTGTAGAAAGAATTCTTATTATGATTTTTTTTTAACGAAGCTTGAAAAATTTTAAGTGAAGGAGAATGGCGGCGAAAGTTGCGAAACCAGCAGCACCTGTCGCTAAGGAGGTAGCCAGTCTTCAGGTTTCCTTGCCTCAAATGTTGGATCTCGCGTTGGGAACACCGGAGGTAAAGAAACTTGCCCTACATTTCGTTTAAAAATTATCGCCGAAAGAAGCAGAGACCATAAATTTTAACAGCAGGTACGTCGCTTTCTGTTCGCGTATAGGTTGGAGCTGTAAATTTGAACATCCTCCATAACTTCCTTCACATTATGCTACACCAGATAAATTTGCGATCGACGAAGGTCGAGTACCGTGGCGACGATGCTAATCGAATCAAAGTAAGACAATTTTATTAAAAAAAATTGTAAGATTGCTTTCGGTAATTAATACGTCAAATATTCAGAAAGAATAGCATATGATCAATAAAGTGAATTACCCAAAAAATATTAGGAGTTTTGAATGTTTATTTTCTTCTTTGGTAATTCGTGTTCATTGATTTGAATATTTGATATATTTTCAAATTGAAGAGTGACGGATCAATTTCTCTAATTTTTACCACGTATCCGGATTGATGTAAAATTAATCGTGTCGAGCTTTTTCTATATTTCCAGACGATGGTAAGCTCTCTGAAAGTTGGTCCGACCCTTCATCTCCACGAGTATAGCGTAATCGATGCTTCTGGCAATGTAAAGGAAAATGTTCGTAGCGCCGACCCTTTAAACGTGAAAGTCGACGTAGTGGCAAGTGGTAACAAAACGGTTCCCATAATTTCACTGTTTTTCGTTAAAATATTCGAGAAAAGAAATTTTTGTTCCCTGGAGGAATATCTTGGAAAAGGGGCTAAACTTAAGTTTTAAATTTGCTAAAGTGCACCTGGTTTTACCAGGTAGTATTGATAAATATTTTATTACAGAACCTGCCATGGAAACCGGTGTGGAGAAATCTACGGCGGTGAAAGGATCGAAATCTACGAGCGCTCCTGCTACACAGCGCGAACAAGTAAAAGGTTCTCGTTTGAAAAGAATTAATTAACGTTGGAATTCTTTCTTTAAAAAAATGTATGCGATTTCTTCTAAAAAAAAAACCAGCAACGAATTCACGCGAACAAAGTTACTGATATTAAAAGCAAGGAGAAAAGTTATCGTACGAATTTTTTCACTTGGGCAAAATTAATAAATTACGAGTAGAATATTGAGATAGTTATCAGATCTTAATGCCTTTTGGAAGAAGGATATTAAAACACGACTTACGATTAAAATTAAACAAAATTGCTGATAAATTAGACGCAGAACCAGAGTCTGAAGACACTATGAAGACGAAAGGTACGCGACAGGAAATTGGTCCTGGAACAGAGGGTAAAAGCGAAACCATAATCTACGTAGAACCGATCGTGGATGGGGCTGCTCCTACAGCACTGGGATTCAAACGACTCGAAAAGACCGTGAGCAATTTTGTACTATAAATACAATCAATTTGAAAATGTTTCACACCTTTTTTAAGTAACCCTTCAACTTATTCCTACTATTTTCATTTTTATTCGTATTCTTTTAACTTCAACTATTTCTTGTATTAGAAAATTTTGGAATTTGAATTATAAATTGCTAATAAATCAGTGTGCACAAAATTTTGTTCATTTCTGTGCTTTCTCGACTCAATTACAGTGTATATGGAGTACGTAACATTGACGTAACATTAAATATTAAGATAGGTTCTATACTGATAAAATATGTGTGCAGGTAAACGAGCTTCAGCAGCGCTTTCAAGCACTGGAAGAGTTACCGACGAACCCAGAGCTTATCGAACGACTGAAGGGTAAATTCACTGATCCCCTAACCGACGTATGGCAGATTATCAATATTACAAAACGATTGGACGCCAGTGAGCAAGGTATTGATAAGGTACAATTTCAAAACTTCAGTTATCCTTTAATTCCCATGCAGGTAAACGTACAATAAACAACGATCTATAATAGGTACAAGCATTATTTAATACTATATAAATACCTTGACAAATTCTGGAATCTAAATTTTAATTTTCAAAGAATGTTAACCAAAATTTAAAACAAATATAAAAATAAGAAAACATATTTGAGGCCAGGAGCAGTACACCAGGGACTTGTTTTTCCTATATATTTGTTATCGTATAATATCACAGACGAGGTACAGGATAGGCTATGCATCTGTTATGTCACACTGTTATGTAACCGGTTGAACCGCTGAAATCAGCACATTTAGAGAACGTAGAGAAGTCTGTTTTATCTTGCTAGGTGTACAAGGTTGCTATCAATTTATCCGATATTTAAAGAAACTATTTTTAAATTCGCAGCCATCAGATCGGTGGTACCCACGAAGAAGAACTTTTCATCACTGACCTTTTCATTCTGTATGTTTCTTTCAAACTGTGCAGACGTACCTTCCAAGTGTTTTAATAAAGCTTAGTTAAAAGTAATATTGTCCTAATTGTTTTTTTTATTCCACCACCTATTTCCAATAACACCGATTACCAGGTCTCGCCACTAGGAGGTTGCTGCGACCGGCGACCCGAAGGGAGATAAATGGGATGCAAGTTCCAATCGAAATTCTATACCTCGTTTGTGATAATATCAACAGACATCGATACTACTTTCGTGTCGTATAATTCAAGTAAAAAACAAGATACTATTTTCAGTTGACAACGATGGTGCAAGACGTGCTGAAAGGCGATCAAATCGAAACTATGGAGGAGCCATCGCAGATCGAAGAGAGGCTAATGAATATAGAAGATAATCTCAACAGTTTGGACCAGGCCATGAAGAATTTGCAAATAATCGTTCACATGAGCGAGGAAGAGGGAACAGAAATTGTTCGCGAGACAACAGCGGACAAAGAGGAGACGCAGATGTCGACACAACGAGTCTCTTTGAGCCAGATTCTGGGTGGAGTAGACATTAAACAAATGAAAGAAGAAGTGCAGGGCTTGCAGCAGGACGTTTCTACGATACGCGACGACTTGAACAGTATCAAAGAGAAAATTTCCAACGTGCCCGCTGGTAAATCGATCCAAATATCACGCTTAATTCTTTAAAAAGACATCTCTCTTTGTAACTAATTAATTTCGAAATAAAATTCTCGTATCCACTCGGTGTATCGATATCACTAAAAAAATAAAAAAAAATAGTTCCCAAGCCGGAAACCACGTCGTCGCAGCAGCAACCAGCTGCAGAACAGGAAGTCGCGGATAAGAAGCAGGAGAAGCGCGCGGAGAAGGCGAAAGAAGAAGCTCAAAGTCCGAAAACAGCGGATAAAAAAGATACGCAAACCGAGGAAACAACGCAGGTGAAAACATCAGCGAAACCTGAAGAGCCGACGGGAAAGCAGACGACAGCCATGGAACTCGAAGAAACGATGGACTCGAATACGTTGAAATCTATAAACGAACGCATATTAAAGTTGGAGAAGGACCTGGTGTGTTTGACCGAGAAAGTTGACAGCGCGCCGATGGCAGGCACTACTGGCAGCGCCGAGCTGGACGAATTGGTCTCGACGATCCATGGAATCCAGACTGAAATGGAGAAACTGAATCAAACTGCGGATCGTTTGATCGACGATCGCGAAAATCGCGAAGTGCATCTCAACGTGAGTTGATTTTAATTACTTTAATCGCTGTACCTCGACTAGCAATCTGAAATTTACATCTTCGAATTCAGTGTTTACATCGATCAGTTTGATAATTAAGTGCTTGTTTTTCCATTTCAGGCTCTGTTGGAACAAGTAGAGCTTCTGAAGACGATAAAGGCGGACAGGGAAGATCTCGAGGACGCGCTTGCCGACAAAGCAGACGCTCAGGCGATAAACCGGAAGGTCGAGGAGCCATCGATTATTGTTAGAATCTAGTATAATAAATATTATAAAAAATGTTTTCTCGTTCAGGTGTCTTACGACCAGTTCGACGCTGCATGCGACGATCTTGCACAAGGCTTGGAGGAGGCCATTGGCAAGTTGGGAAAACAAGAATCGATTTGGCAGCAAACGCTGGACGAGGTGCAGAAGGAGATCGAAGGGAAAGTGGATAAGATAGAAATGACACCGTTGAAAGACTTCGTCAGCAATCGATTCAAGACGTTGCAGGATAAGCTGAAGAGCGTGGCTGAAATGAGACAGGAATCCGAGGCTGCTGGTTCTAAAAAGATGCTCAGGTTTTGAAAAAACTGTTAACCACAATGTCGTTAGTATAAATACCATTAACACGGTTTATGTGCGAAATTAGGGACGTCCAGTGCATATCTTGCGACAAGAACGTCGTCATGAAAATGGAGGATACCAATAAAATGAAAATGGAACCGTTGCCTTGTACGTTGAGTATGAAGCCGTACCTGACCTACGAATTGGATCAAATTAGGAAGCAACAGAAGAGATTGCCTCACAGCAGAAATATGATTCAATTCGAGGCAGTGTTGCAGGAGGAGGCGAAGAAACAAAAGAGCGCTAGGGCTGAATCGCTCGTAAAAACTCCTAGGTAAATACTACATTGTGGACTATTACTTAATATTTATACAGGATGTTCGGCCAAAATAAGATGAAAATCGAGAATACCAATTTGTTGATTGAGGTCTCATTACAAAGTTATTAACAATATTATTGTTGAAAATTATTAATAAAATCTGTCCACCTGCACGAATTTTTTTCTTGAAAGTGTGTAAGATTTCGGGGGTATGTCTATTCACAAAAAATGATTATAATTGACCCCTGCAACTAAAAACAATTTTTCAAGAACGATTTGAAAAGATTTTTTTCGCCGAAAAATTTTCCGGTCGGTATGGAACTTTAAACGTTAATAACTTTTAACGAAGCCTCAATCAACAAATTGCTATCAAGAGTCTCGTGCCAACGAGATAATAAATTCTTGATTTTCGTCTTATTTTGGCCTCTAGAATCTCCCATTCAAATTTTTCCCAGGGGTGGCTGAACTCCCTGTATAATAACGTTTAACACTGGAATAACAGGCGTATTTTATGGCATATTTACATAGATTAGCATTTTCAATGGTGGTTCGGAAAGATTTAAAAAAATTAAGCATACATTTTAGTATTATGGTTCCAGAGTTATTATAAGTATTAACAATATGATTTTGATTTTTAGGGATCATCTGGTCAATCGATATTGCGGCGGAAGTCACACGGTTACGACTCCTCATCAGAGAGTGACGCGAGTGGGTCACTTCCTCACTCAATGGGGACCGGAAATAGTGCAGTTGACGGAAGGAATGGTGAGAGGAACGGATGGAAAGATGTATAGAAGCCGACCAATGCCGGACAAATTCGATGTCTGCGGACCTGCATATTGCGAAGATCACGGCGACGAGGCTAAACCTACGGTGATTGTTTCATTTTCAAAATAATTATGCAGTTTGGAGACTAATCGAACTATTTCAGAAGCGACAACCGGTTTCCCCACAGCCGCGAAAGAGTTCTGAGAGACAAGCCTTGATTAGTTCAAGTAAATATTACAAGTTTTTAAAGCCAAGCAATTGTGAATTGTCTTCACAGAAACTGTTACACCTTAATAAGAAATTTAAATTATAATTGTTATTTGAAACAGAAATATCGTAACTATTTTTAAAGAACGTAGTGTTTACATTATAACTAGTCTGTAAGGAACATTTTAATCTTGCAATCGTCATTTTCCCAGGAAGAAGAAGCTCAAAGAGAGTGTCTAAAGAACTAAGTAAAGGATCAGCGAGAATAGAGGAGGTAAATATCTCGAAAAATTAAAGAATTAAAAAATTGATTGAAATATGTCAATTTGCGTTTGCAGCTTGCAGTAGAATCTGAAACAGAGAAACCCGATGAATTACCACACAATGTAGACTCGCATATGGACGAAGTCATTCATTACGACGACGAAGAGGAAATGGAGGATCACGATTAAACAAAATTGTAATTGTCCATGTTATGATACGTTTCACAACGGAAATTTGTATAGTATAAGTCCAATTTTATAAGAACATACACGATGTAATATAGAAAATAAATTTTATAATTTTAATTAGATGTGTTAGGACCTACTGTTATTCTTAATATTCTTCTTATAGCTTTCCATTGACTCACACCTTCAAAATAAATGCTTTCTTCGTTCGTTTTTAAGTCAGCAAAAAAGGTTTCGTTGACACTGGAACATGCAAAGAATGCATGTTTTTAAAACCCTGTTTACAGAAATTTGATTACCGGTAATACAGACACGTATTAGACCACAGACGAGATATATGAATAGACCTTTCACCTTATGGACTTTCGCGGCCGAATCTGACTGCCATACCGACCTGAAAATTCGGAGGTGATTTTAGCGGCCTCTTCTCATGGATGGCGGTCAGTTGAGAAACTAGGCACTGAATTAGTATTGATGGGCAGCCAGCTGAGTGTGTGCGTAAATACATGTAAGTTGACTATGGGAGGGATCGAAAAAGTATAGCTTCGAGGATTCGAGAAAGGCGGCGAATGTGAGTCTATCCTTCTTGCTCTCAACACAGCTGAAATTCGAACTCGCATAATCTCGAGTGCCCAGACATTTTTTACTTTCCGACCTATGTAGGCATATATGTATATGTTCCTACGCTTGGGTACAAAAAATACCCGCGATCACTATATTCGCCAAAAATACTAAGTATACAACTGGTCACCCGTGTTGATTCGGATATTTCATCCTACAACATGGTTGGGGACCAGAGGAAACAAAATAGCATGCGACTCACCAACTGTAGAATTCAAGCACCCGGGCGACGATGTTGCCTAGTAGGAGTCATCAGCGATGTCATCAGCGACGTTAGAAACGAAGTCAGCATCAAGGTCAGCAGCGAGATCATCATCGAGTTTCTCTGGATCCACAAGTACGATGATGAGATGTCAGGATCCTTTAGAAGGAAAGAGTAAATGTTTTTACGAAAAGGTTTCTACCGTATTTGAAAACTTGATGGCAAATTTAGATCAAACAATTTTTTTTAAGCGCACTCGGAACAAAATACGAAGAATACTTACATTTTTCGCACGTGGGCATCGCCAAATACTCTTTTTCGTATAGATACAGGTTTCTTGTCGAAACGTGTTCACAAACTCTCAAAGCATTATGGCTTCGCGTCGACAGCGTGACCGTAGTTTGGCCGCAGTTGAGAGTCTCATGTGGTTGAATTGTAATTACGATCTGCCACAGAAATAAAACACAAATTTGTTAACAGACACTTATTAATATTGGATAAATGCATCGATGGATAATGACGAAAAGAAGAGAACCGGTTAGAAATGAAAAATACGTTTGACCGTAGTTGAGCGTCCCGTGTTTGAATTGTAATTACGGGCTCTTACAGAAATAAAACACAAATTTGTTAATATGCACTTATTAATATTGTATAATTGCATCGATGGAGAATGACGAGGAGAATAGAAATGGTTAAAAATAAAAAATACGTACCTAATTAGACGCGAAGCTGTCAACGCACTTCTCACACCACTTTCCAGACGAAGAATGACGAACAGGATCGGACACGTCTCTCGCGCGAGGAGTGGGGAGTGGGGTGGGGAGTGGGGTGAGGGAGTCACGTAGTCCGTCTCGACTCTTGATGTGTATCTTCGAAATAAAGGTTAAACCTTATATCTCGATGAACTGAAAATAAATAAAATTAAGACATGAAGAAAATAAAATTAATATAAAAAGATATGAAACAAACAATTAATTAATGATTTATAATCTTTATACTCCTGTGACGTCACAATGAGAAGCTGTCATTGGCTCATCTAATATCGATCTGTTATTGGTTGCATATATAACTAGATCAATTAAAATATATTAATTATAACCATATAATGCGTAAGTATTAACTTTCAATCTAAATTTCAATCAGTTTTTCATATAAAAGTTTCTTTTGTTTCTATTAAATTTTCTAAAGATATTTATTTTAATTCTCACTAAATATCTAACCTTCCTTGACGCGGTGTCGATAACATTGAACTTGACGCAGTTTGGAAAGAAGTCTTCTACAGGCATAAACGAAGTGTGATGTAGACGCCGAACGCGATATTTTTTCGTAATACAGGGATTAAGGGCACAGACAATGCATAGTATAGACGCATAAAACAACAGTGTTAGTGTCACGCAGATCAGGAATTCATGAGTCCATCTCCAAGGTGAAGTCGTGAGGCCGGCGTCCGAGAATGTAAACACAACCTAACCGAGCTTTTAAAAGATAAGAAACGTATCGCATCATTATCCTTGGCTTAGGAATGCTAACAATGGTAAGAATAAAATTATTTTTAAAGAATATTATAGAATACACTAGAAATAGGTATAGACGAGTAACAAACAGGAACAGTATTCAGTGGGAGTCCTATTGCACAAAAGAAAATCATCGTGAAAAATTAATATATTTGTATATTTTATACATATTATTTGTTTATTGTTGTTGCGTTCACTCAATTTATATGAAACGCATTTATTAAAATTTCAATTAAAAATGAATATATTTACATATTAATTAGTACATATTTCGATAAAATGAGTTCCCTATGTATATCCATATTTAATCTTTAAGAGACACTATTGAATCTATCGAATAATCGAAAGTCGAATGCTGCTCATTGTGACGTCACAGGAGTATAAAGATTATAAATCATTAATTAATTGTTTGTTTCATATCTTTTTATATTAATTTTATTTTCTTCATGTCTTAATTTTATTTATTTTCAGTTCATCGAGATATAAGGTTTAACCTTTATTTCGAAGATACACATCAAGAGTCGAGACGGACTACGTGACTCCCTCACCCCACTCCCCACCCCACTCCCCACTCCTCGCGCGAGAGACGTGTCCGATCCTGTTCGTCATTCTTCGTCTGGAAAGTGGTGTGAGAAGTGCGTTGACAGCTTCGCGTCTAATTAGGTACGTATTTTTTATTTTTAACCATTTCTATTCTCCTCGTCATTCTCCATCGATGCAATTATACAATATTAATAAGTGCATATTAACAAATTTGTGTTTTATTTCTGTAAGAGCCCGTAATTACAATTCAAACACGGGACGCTCAACTACGGTCAAACGTATTTTTCATTTCTAACTGGTTCTCTTCTTTTCGTCATTATCCATCGATGCATTTATCCAATATTAATAAGTGTCTGTTAACAAATTTGTGTTTTATTTCTGTGGCAGATCGTAATTACAATTCAACCACATGAGACTCTCAACTGCGGCCAAACTACGGTCACGCTGTCGACGCGAAGCCATAATGCTTTGAGAGTTTGTGAACACGTTTCGACAAGAAACCTGTATCTATACGAAAAAGAGTATTTGGCGATGCCCACGTGCGAAAAATGTAAGTATTCTTCGTATTTTGTTCCGAGTGCGCTTAAAAAAAATTGTTTGATCTAAATTTGCCATCAAGTTTTCAAATACGGTAGAAACCTTTTCGTAAAAACATTTACTCTTTCCTTCTAAAGGATCCTGACATCTCATCATCGTACTTGTGGATCCTGAGAAACTCGACGATGATCTCGCTGCTGACCTTGATGCTGACTTCGTTTCTAACGTAGCTGATGACTTCGCTGATGACTCCTACTAAAGCAGTATTTCTGTTGACGAACTCTAGTAAGAAGATGAAAAGAGAAAACCAGTAGGCTAAGCACAGATGTGCTTGTTGTGTTTCTTGTTTCCTGTCCTTTTCTTTTCAGCTCTTTTCTTTCCAGGAAATTTGTTGGCCGCGAGCAATGCGGCCGGTAGATTCAGTGATTGAGCGTAGCAAACAAGTTTGTTTCTCGTTGCAAAGTGACCCCGAGTACGTTATCGTTCACGGTGTTAGGCAAACGCGAGCATAGAAGCAGTATTTTCCTACGCAAATTAAAATTATTTCCAGAGCATCGTGACTCTCCTTGTTTTCTGAATCGCGATAATAGAGTCATTTGTTCGCCGATTTCAATCTTCGGTCGCGGTAATCTAACTTAATACTTTCCAACCAAATTAATTATTTTTTCAATTTGACATTTAAACTCCTCGTTACCGGAATTAGAATCAGTGCATCACTGAAGAGGATTATTTGGCGATGCTCCACGAGCAAACAATGTAAATATAAATTTATACTTTGAAATTTTTAATTAAAAATCTCTACAGTTTTAACAATAGATTCTAATTGTTTTCTTACAGTTTTCTTACAGTTTCTAAACTTGATACTGGGAACCAGTAGCCGTACCCGGGGGGTATCGGGCGATGGACCATGAGTGAACAACGTAAGTATAAATTTATACTTTGAAATTTGTTAATTAAAAATCTCTATAATTTTAACAATAGATTATAATTGCTTTCTTATTCTTTATAGCAGGAGCATGCAGGGAGCATTGATGACTTCTACTGGACACTGATGACTTCCACTGGGCAGCAGCAGCATCATTATGCAGTCATCCCAGAGGCTCAAGTTCATCATTGGTAAGTCGCATGCTATTTTGTTTCCTCTGGTCCCCAACCATGTTGTAGGATGAAATATCCGAATCAACACGGGTGACCAGTTGTATACTTAGTATTTTTGACGAGTTAAGTGACCGCGGGTATGAAAAATGCCCATGAATTATATTTTTTTAGTGCAGGCTAGGGTCTTCTTGCACTCGCGTTTTTTAATGTTATCAATAAATATTACACAATTTTGATACAATATATGAAATATATTTATTATCTTTATATGAATTAAATAGTTGAGTAAAATATGAATTAATATAATGTGAAAACATTATATTAAACGTATGATTGAGTACAATATCTTACATCATTAATATAATTATTAAATATTCGTTTTATTAATTAATACATCATATGATGTATTTTATGTGCAAGAAGGCGTTTCGCGACTGGTCGATTTTCGACTCAAAGGAACATGCATGTTAATTTTATATTTTTAAAAA